AAAAAACCCAAGCTGTACTTAAGAGATTCCTATATAGTCTTATTTTCCTGTTCTTTGTATATGGAAATGGTCATGTTTGTTGATGTGTAAGTAGATAATCAAAAAGAAATATTTTTTCAAAGTATGTTTGGTACAAAAGTGGGATTTGCCTACTTTCTGAGGTCACTGAGAGGTTTCTGGGGAGGGGACAGCTGGACTCCAATGTGAGCCTAAGGGCCCCTCTTATGGGCATGTATGCCTCCCTCCTCTCCCAATGACACCTGCATCCCGCTTTCTGCTGCAGTAAAGGAGGACAGAGCTGGGAGGCGGGGTGCATCTTCCTTATATGTCCTGAACACTGAATCCCATACCCATTAAAAGACCCTGACCTCACCCAGCCTAGGACTGATGGCACAAGCTGGAGTGGGGGTGGGGTGGGGCTGTGGGGGGCAGCTGGAATCAAGGCCAGAGCCCCAGGAAACAGCCAGCAGGCAGAAAGGCAATGATAATAATGACTGAGCTGTCCAGAGATTCATTTCACCTTTTTCAGCTGAGTGAGAGCTGTGAGAGAGAACACAAAATGTGCTTGGCATGGCTCAAAATGCCTCCTGCCTTGTTTTCCTTGGGGGCAGCCCAGAGTGCAAGCCAGCAGTGGAGGGGAGCTTAGGGCCTCACACCCACGTGGAGGAGGCTTACTTTTTGATTCTTCATAATAAGCTCCTAGATCTGGAGCCAGAACAGACCTCGGGGGCCAGCCAACCCCACCCCTCATTTTACCGAGGGGGAAACAGAGTCCCAGGGTGGTGAAGCCACCCGCTCAAAGTCACACACACAGGATCACACAGCAGAGCTGAAAGGGACCTCAAAGGTCGTCCAGACCAACCCCCTATTTTCCAAATGATTACGGTTTATGGCTTAATTAAATACACACACAAAAAAATCACTCACCTGTTTCGAGAATTCCAATACAATGTAAGCTCTTTGAGGGCAGGGCTTGCCTTTTTTTTTCTCTCTATCCCTAGTGCCAGGTGCACAGCAGGCCACAGGGTGTACCCTGACTTCTCTAGGTGTCCTGGGAATTGGATGGGGCTTATCTAGCCCCTGGCAGGAGAGTCTCCAGCCAATGGTATGGACCTTACCCATGCCATCTCATTGCGCATGTGGCGCTCTCCTGCCAATTGTATGGAATTTACACTTGCTATCCCCCCCACCCCCACCCCCTGCCAATGTGAGACTCCCTATTCTCCTATAAGGCAAAGAATAATACCGTAGTATGGTCAAAAACACATTAGAGAATCATGGAAGTTGGCATTTCAGGAGTGCTTTTCAGAATGGATCGGATCATGTCCTGGCTCTGCTATTTACCTGTGTGTGAGCAAGTCACTATCCTCATCTGGGCCTCAGTTTCCTCCTCTGTAAAATGAGGGGGTTAGATGAGATGATCTCCAACGTCCCTGCCAACTCTAAATCCTATGATACCATGACTGTTAGTCATGTTTTCCTACAGTGAGTGTCAGAGCTGAAAGGAACCTTAGAGGCCATATAGTACAAAGGAAGAGATTGTCTCTTTCTGGGCGGATCAGTTGGTTCAGGGCTCCCAGCATTCCAGGGAACATCTCACCAGCTTGTCCAATTGTCAGCAGCCCCCCCCCTTTTTTTTCCCTTAGCAGGCCCTCAGAGGTAACTTAGCGGGTACAGTCCATATACGGAAATCACAGAGAGGAATGGGTCAGTTGGGCCTACCCAAGTTAAAAAAAATCGTCCAGCTGTCAGGATACTTTGGCAGAGATCTGTTAATGATGCAAATGAGCAGTCACCTGCTGGTAGAGGACAGTGATAAGCACAATTAAACAAAAAATGAGAATGATTGCTTGGAAGAAATTCAGGCTGAAAGAACTGATTTGGATAATTTAGAAATACGGAGAAAAATAATAGAACCGGATCCCACTTGGCCAAGAGTATTTGAAGCAACTGACTTTGGTTCCCCCTACGACTTCTTTCTAGCTGTGTGCTTCTTGACAAGTGACTTCACCTCTCTGAGCCTCAGTTTCCTCTTCTGTAGAAGGAAGATACCAATGGCTTGCTGTGAAGCTCAAATAGGAGAATACATTTTATTAAAAGCACTATGTAACCATGAATTACAATATTACCAACTATAAATAACCCCAGGGACATCAAAGACAGAGGGAGAGGAGGTCTCAAATGTACAAAAATATTTCTGGTGGCAAAACCTGGAGACAAAAAGGGTCCCCATCAACTAGTTGAATAAATCGTGAGATATGAATGTAATCAAATATAATTGAACCAACTAATATTAAAATTCAAAGAAACTTCAGAACTGATATATAATGAGGTAAGCAGAGCCCAGAGGTCAATTTACACAGTGACCACAAAAATGTAAAGGAAATCTGATCAGTGCAGTGACCGATCTGGATTGCAAAAGACATACAGACAAATATGTGCACACGCGTGCATGCACACACGTACACACACACACACACACACACACACGGAAATATTTTGTAAACCTTACATAGCTATGAAAACTGAGCTGTTGAAACAGGCCACTTGTTCAGGGCCATCAAGCCATATACTAACAAATCACTACTCAGATTTTGATAGCATCTTAAAGTTTACAAGGCACTTTCTCCATAGTAGCCCTGAAAGGTAGGTATTGCATGTATTATTATTCTCGTTTTATAGTTGAGGAAGCTAAAACTCAGAGAGATAGGCACAGGAGCTCTGGCAATGCATGGCAGCAGCTCCCAGAGCACTGGTGTTGCTTCCAGCCTGGCCCTCCCAGCCATCAGCCAGAGAATGATCACCTCCATTTCCCATCTCCACCCCCTGACAACCAACTGCTACCCACAGGGCAGGCAAACTAGCCTTTCTGAAGCATCAGGGTACCCTGAGTTGGAGACAGGAGATAGCACGTGCTGGGCAAGTCAAACTATCACCATCACCAGTCACCATCCTGACCACCATCTCCCTCGCCTCAGACCACAATGGAGACAGCGCAGGTCCCTGAACCTAAGAGCCTTGGGATAGCCGTGCTTCCAGCCCAGTGTCTTCAGCCACTATCCTGGGAAGCGACTGCTGTAGATGTGTGGCCTGGCCACGGGTCCTTTGGGTGCTACAGTCAAAGCTACTGACTGTGGGAGAAAAGAGAGTTCTTACTCCCAAAGTCCTTGATACTGTCATAGTTCAACATCAGAAACTGATATGAAGATGGTACCACTGGCTTTGCCACACACCCTAAGGACCATGGGACTTTTCTATCTGACTTGTAGCTGAACCCTTCCATAGGTATTAGAATATGGGTTTCTGGAGTGCAGGGACTGTGCTTTTCTATTCATATACCCAGCCCTTAGCACACTGCTTTGCATATAGTAAGCCCTCAATCAATGCTTTTTCATGCATTCATTCATTGAGAGGTAAAGACTCTTGGCCATGCTCATACAGCTGGTAAGTGCAATGCTTGCGATCTGAATCCTCTACTCCTGTCCCCAGGTTGAATATTGGTCACAGCACTTGCCTACCCTTGTAGGCTACCTAAGTGTAATTACCGGCCAGAAAAATAGCTCCGGGGAACAGGAGCTTGAAGAAGTGACTTCTTGGGGCCAAGAGTCTCATTTCCAACCTTGACTCCAATTCCACATTTCTGGACTTTCTGGCCTGTGGGACAACTTGAGTTTGCGTCAGGCATGGTTCTGGTGGTGTGATGGAAAGAGCCCCAGGTCTTTCAAATACACAAAGACCTGGGTTCAAATCCTGGCCATGTGACCTTGGGCAAGTCACTCCCTTGTTCTGGGTCTCTAGTAACCTGGCAATGCCCAAGCTCTTTTTGTGATCCCTGAAGATCTTGTCCAGCTCTGGAGTGCCCGAGCTCTTGGAGAGAGAACTGGCTCTGAGTCACACCTGCCAGCCCTTGTAACCCTTTTGCATTTCCTCTCTTTCCACTTTGTTCTGTGTCAATGCCCTTCACAAGGTGTAAATAATTAGCTAAACTAAATACCAGGCTCGGGAATGAATGACTCCCGTATTACCTGTGCATGGGTTACCTAGGGGCCACAGAGTACGTGCTGTCTAGGAGTATTCTTTAACTTCTTACTTTAATGTCCTCTCCCCCTACCACACCATAAACTCCCTGAGGCCAGCGACCAGTGGGGCCCCAGTACCTGGCATAGGGCCCCAGCTCATCCAAGAACTTAATGGACATTCGCTGCTAATGGGGATGATGCCAATGATGATTAATGGGGGGTGGAATAGAAGGAGCCTTGGCATGGAATCCTGGCTCTGGAAGGTCTTTCCAAGTTTTGTGACCTGAGGCAAGACACATCTGTAAAACAGGATCATAAGATCATGAGATCAGAGATTAGAGCTGGAAGGGGCCTTTTTTTATGGAAAAGGAACTTGCGTCTAGAGAGGTCAAGTAACTTGGCCAAGGTCGTACAGGTAATTGGTGGCAGAAGAGACAACAATACCTACGTTACAGACGTCACAGGAGTCCTGTTTTCTTCACAGTAGCACTTAGCAGATGCTTAAATGTGATACAAATGTGTTCTTTGTTATTCTATAAAATTATTTGTCTGTTTACAAATCTATGTAAATAATTTAATAATTTCATTTGATCATTAATAACATTTAATTATATATATCATAATTAATGAAATTTTGTCAAAAATAATTTTGAAAGAGACCCATCTTTGAAACACAAATGATCTCCCACTGATTCCATGTGCTTATGATTCTTAGATCATCACAGTCTCCAAAGAATCAAAGTTGCACGTCATAGACTCAGAGAACTATAGATGGGGGGGGGGGGAAGAGAGATATTGCAAAGGTAGAAACGACTGGCCTTGGCAGAGGATTGAATGTAGGGTAGTGAGAGAGAATGATGAGTCAAGGATGACTCCTAGGTTGTGAGCCTCAAAGACTGAGAATGAAAAAGTTTTGGGGTGCTGGGCCCCGAGAATGCCAAGGCTGGGTCACCTAGAATGAATTTACACACTCAAGCCTTCTCTTAGTCAAGTGGCAAAAAGTTTATTGTAACGCTCTAGCAAAAGCGGGCATGGGTCCTTAAGGGAACCTGGGAGAGACTGAAGATGGTGCTGGGGTTTATATGGAAAAGGGGAATGGGCAAGGAATGCCAGGGATACTCATCAGGTGACCTAAGGGATTCAGGTGTCTTTGGGATTTATGGATGGAAAAGTATAGGGAGTACACCAGACATTAAGGGAGCTGTCAGAGGCATGAACCTTGGGGATCTGGAGCCAGGAGGGAGATAGAGTCTTTGGGCCAGCCAGGGACAAAAGTCCTTGGGCCAGGCACCCCCGTTTTTGCTCTGATAAGAGAATGTATTCTGCAACAAGAGCCTATTTTCTCACAGGAAGTGGGCCTACTGAGAAATTGGGAGGCGTTCAGAGACATAATCTTAGGGCTGGGGCCCGAGTACCCCATCAAGAGGATGGTGGTGCCCTTGACAGTAAGAAGGGAAATGAATCGTGGGAAAAGGAGGTAGGCCAAACATGGCAGAGACATTGAGGGATGATGACAGTTGGTGTGTACTGGTACCCACAAAATGCCAAGAGACCCAAGGGAAGGCCTTTCATTTGTTGGAGAAATCTTTTGCAGTGTCTATGGGAGAGCAGAGGCAAGAAGTACACTGGATGAGATGTGGGTGTATTACACTTAGCACCAAAGGGAATGGTCACATGGATGAAATCGTGGCCCCATAAAGAATTAAGGTAGAAATGTAAGAATTGCTAGCTTATTATTACCAATAATGATCGTAAGAATATTATGTCTGTCTTCTAGAAGTCAAGGACTGGAAGGAAACGACAAGCCAAGCTGAAATGATGGAAGTGTTCACCATGTTTGAGACCCACTGGGCTAGAGGAAGAAGAGCTCTTCACTTGGGCATTCCTGGTTATTGTTGTTGTTGTTTTGGGGGGTGGGGAGGGAGTCACTCTTCTTCCAGGATGTCTGAGCGTTTTCTATCCAGTTCTTACTTTGGAACATCCCTGTACACAGCATGTAACCCAGAATTATTGAATCGCTGAGTGTCAGAGCTGGAAGAGATCACAGGGTCACAGGGTCAGAGCTCTAAACCTGGAAGGCATCTTGAAGGCCAACTAGTCAAACTTCCTCATTTTACAGGGGAGGAAATTGAGGCCTAGAGAGGGGAAGCCACTTGCCTAAGTGGCCCACAGCAAGCAGCAGGACTTCAAAGGAGTTTGGAGCTAGCCCTAGCCAGCCCCCAGGGTCTGAAATGTGAGGCCAACCTGGATCCCTGGTGGGCTCTTGTGACAGAGCCAGCTAGCTTCTCCAGCAATGACCTCAGGGTCTCCTTTCCCACCTCCACTACCTCTCCTCATCACTGCCCTCCTCCCTACTGTCCACTGTATCTGTCCCAAGGCCCTTATTCCTAGTCACGCCTCCAACAAGCTCAGGTACCAGAAGGGGCTGGTTCTAAGGAACTTTGTCCTATAGAGTGTTCGCTCTGCCTAGGCCCCTCCTGCTCAGAAAAAGGGTTGAGCTGAGGCTCAAGACTCTACGTGGGACACGGAAGGATAATTTCCCTATTAGGGGATATTAACGTGGTGGGATAGACAGCTTCTAATTGCTCAGTACCTACTTCTATTTCATATCAAGCTAATCTCTGAATAACTAACTCTATGCCCCCCTCCATGATTTTATGATCATTTAACAGTTTTGAATTTAATAGTTCAATTCACCAACCACTTAAATGTTAAGTGCGTATGCCATCTTAGAATCCTAGTTTGTGAAAGGGACTTTGGAAGCAACCTTAGAGGTCATTCATCCACTCCAGTGCTGTCAAACAGGGGCCACTAAACCATACGGAAGGATCTCTGCAGGCACAGAAAATCACATATTAACATTATCTATGTTTGTTTTTGTTAAATATTTCCCGATTACATTTTAATCTAATTCAGTCTCCACTCGGGAGTGTTGTGGGCTGGGATGTGGCCAGCGGTCTGCATGTTTGATGCTCCTGATCTAGTCCAACCCTGTCATATTACAGAAGAGGAAACTGAGGCCCAGAGAAGTTAAATGAGTTAAATAGAAGAGACAGGATTCGAACCCAGAACTTTTGACTCCAAATTCAGCACTCTTTCCACTGTACCATGATACATCATGAACATATTAAGTATCTTTGTGTTTGCCAGACTTGTGATTTCACCAGTGTAGAGAATTTCCAGGTGAGGAAACTCCCTCCACCAATTCAAGTCAGCACCTTCTCTGCAACTTAGAGTCTTAGAGAACTGCCTAGAGCATTAAGTGGTTAAATGACTTTTCCAAGGTCACATAGCCAGGATGTGTCAGAAATGGATTTTGAACCCCGGTCTTCCCAATTTTGAGACAATTCATTCTCTAGCCATTACCCCTAGATGGGAAGGAGTGGGGTGGAGGTGGGGGTGGGGAGAGAGGTACAACAAATAATTATAGTACAAGGAAAGTTGAGAAGGAAGAAAGCACCAAGAGGGATGGAGATTAAGGAAGGATTGATCAGGGAGTGGGGGCACCTTCGCTGAACCCCATCTAAACTTCTTATTTTATAAAGGAAGTAACAAAAGATCAGAATTAACATCATAACAGGAACTGGAGCCCAGATCTCTTGCCTGGTCCCATCCAACTCTTAAATTTGATGGTTTGATGACACCCAGTCCAGCACCCTTTCAGACAAGTTATTGAAATATGGCCTTCTGTGATATGATCAAGGCTCATTCCAAGGCTGCTAGCCTTTGGGAACACCAGCCCACATCTTATGGCACAATTTGTGCAGCTGAGTGGGAATGGTCTTTCCCAGACATACTGGCCCCAAGATCACTCGTATCAAGTGGGAGGCCCCAGAGACTTCTTTAGGAAGAGCAGAAGCCTGGGACTAGTCAAATATGAGGCAGGATAGCATAGAGTGGGGCTGTGGGCTTCAGACACAGGTATTACCCCCACCTTTCTTCCCCGTCCTGTTGGTTGCTCAGGAAACTGCCACGGCTGGTCATAAGGGAACAGACTGCATGGGTTCACATTCAGAGTGGGGAATGAGCTGGTGTGGAGCAGGGGAAGGAGTTCTCTATTTGTAATCTGAGGACCTGTGTTCAAATACTGACTGTGCCACTTAATAGTTGTATGACCTGATGCAAGTCTCTGAGCCTCACTCTCCTCAAGGATAAAAGGGGGGAGGTAGTCTTGGATGAGCTCTATGGTCTAACTAAATGCTCTAAGTCTAGGATACTATGATCCCTCCCACTTCCGAGGCCAAGCCCAAGCTCAGGGCACACCAGGCAAGGTCTTTGCCTTACCTTCCCCTCACTAACATGACCCCATGAGATGGAACCAACTCTTACCATCTCGCCACCAGACTGCCCCACAGCAGCTCCACCCGACTACTGGGCTACACCCTCACCTTCTTCTTTAGCACATGAAAAACCCTCTGAATTTCCCACCTCGGGACATATATCCACTCACCTGGCTCTAGTTATGGCTCTGTCTGCAAGTCAAGGCTCAAGCTGGAACCCAGAGCATCAGCACACGTGGGCATCTGCTTACTCTATGGCAAACTGTTCTAGGTTGAATGTGTTATGTGTTAATGCTTCTTTTTTTCCTAACCTTGACCTTGAGGAAGTAAAAGTTTTCCTGCCCTCAACCAGGCTCAAAACCCTGAACACCAAGGCACCCTGGATTCAGAGTGAAAGGACCTGGGTTCAAGTTCTGACTTTGTTGATTACTGATTTTGAAGAAGTTATTTCACCTCCCTAGGCCTCAGTTCCCTCCTCTGTAAAAGGAGGGCAATAGTACTTGCACTGTCTTCTTCACAGGGTTGTGCTGGGCACTAGAGTTCTGTGGTTATTATTAAGTGAGAAATTAGGGAAGGTGTGTACTACCTCTGAGATGGGCTGGAGGAGCAGAAAGAGAGAGAAGCCTCTTAGAGAGAGAAGCCGAGGGCTTTTTTTTAGCTTCCACCTGAAACTCACCATTAATTTGTGGGGGTGGTTTTGTGAGGGACCCCTTTCACTGGCCAAATGGGGGCTTGAGAATGGACCTGGGAATGTCCCTTGCCAGGAATCCCCCTGGGGAAGCCCAACCTTTCTCTTTCTCTAAATCATGGCAATCCTGGGGACCTTCCCAGTCGGCTTCTTCAGTGCACACTTTGGCTCATGTGGGCACAGAACCCTCCTTGTCCAGGTTTGAAACTAATCCAATGCCAACTGTTGCAAACCAAGGCCAAGGAGCCATTGGCCAGAAGAGGAGGAAGATTTCTGAGCCTGTCCAAGCCTAGAAACCAGGGACTGGGAGGCTAACAGTTGCCCTCTTGGGCCCTGCTGGGGCCAAAATGCAAACTGAGATTCTTCTCTGAGCAGTGTCCCAGAAACCACCGGAGCCACTGGTCCATTCAGTACAAAGACCAGGTCGCTCCCCACCTGCCTACCGCCGGACTGACCACCAGCCTGGGCATCAACTTGCCTATCATCTGGCTGCTCATGATGAGGGGGGCCCAAGAGCAGAATGGGGCTTAGCAGGAGATAGGCCAGGATGGAAGGAGTGCTGAGAAGGGACTTAGTGACCTGGGAAGCACCAGCACTTTAGCGCAAATGACATTATCCTAGCCAGAGAGCCCCCGGCCAGGGAACCTACGAGAGGAAAGGAAAGGGGAGGAGAGGTTAGAAATCGGGAAGGGACACACGAAGGGGAGCCAGGGGCCAAAAAACACATATTTCCCCAACTTCCCAATTTGGCCCAGGGCCGGGCATCAGAGCCTCCCGAGCCAGGAAGCCAGGCTGTCTTTCCAGCCTCTTTTTGGGACAGGTTCCTCTCCAGCCATTCTCCAGGTGTCCCAGGAAGGGCACGTCGCCCACCTCCGTCCTACCACCAGGCAGGGGGGATTCAGCCGCTGCAGGAGATGGAAAGAACGAAGTGGGTACCAATTAGAAAACAGAATATCATTCCATGTAATTAAATGGCTTTCTGGAAATGGGTCTTTTTTTCTTCCCGTCTGGCAGTTTTGCTTAGTCTCAGCTCTCACTAACAAGGCTGGCACGCTTTTCTGCCTCTGGGCTGTCTGTATGCAAGAGCAGGCTGCCAAGTAGAGACCTCAGGAAGCCTCTGGAGCCAGGGGGTAGAGGGAACCGGCCTGCTCTCCGCTACAGAGCAGAGCAGGGCCAGGGCCTGGCCTCTGCCTCAGCACCCCTCAATTACCAGAGAAACTACTGGACTCTGCAAATACTTTTCAAGTCTCCGGGGAAGTCCTGGACCTGTGATTTCATTGGTATAAAGGACTCTTGGGGGAGGAAATTCCCTTTACCAAGGCAGGTTGGCAAATTCTCAGAAACTTGGAGACTTAGGGTCTAGATATGAGTTCAGATGGGAGCTACCAGCTGAAGTCTTCCCACGAGTGGCTCACCCCCCCTGGCCCTGCCATGTTTCCTCTCTCAGACAGTAGTCTCCCTCTCCTGCCATTTTGGGGTCTTCACTCGTGGGCTCTGAGGTCCCAGGGGCTGTTTCTCCTCCAGTATGGTATCCTGAGCTCCCTCTCTGTATGAGGCCATGTGTCCTGAGGACCAAGCTCTCTTCTCTCTCTAAAAAACTGAATTTGTTTTGAAAAAAAAAAACTGAAATAAGGGCACTGGTAGTCCCTGTGACTCAGAATTGCTAGGTATAGCTCTGCAGAGCAGGCAGATTAGAACAGTCTCAGGCCATTTGGCCCGAGGAGGAATGTGATCCAGAGCACGGCGGTGACCATTCTGGGAGGGGGCAGGGGAACAGAGGGGCCTTCTCTGTCAGGAAACAGGGTCTGTCTATTGGAAAAAGGGGAAGCCCAACCCTGGGGGGAGGGGTTTCTCAGTTTATGAAAGCATGAATCTGTGGACTCAGGACTTCTAGATGCCAAAACCGCATCCATGACGACTCTCACGGCACAAACCTAGAGCTGGAAGGAACTGAAGAGGCCCCTGAGTCCAAGCTCCTCATGTTATAGTTGAGGAAACTGAGGCCCAGAGAGGGGAAGTGATTTGCCCAAGGTCCCCTGGGTAATAAGTAGCACAAGTCTCTTTGAGACAAAAATGCATTTTATAAATTATAACAGTAAATGATGCTAAAATACATTTTCACAGTATTTTATGGAAAAAAAACCAGAATTTAGAGCTGTCTGGGATCTTAGAGGTCATCTCTTTTATTATACAGGGGAGGAAACTGAAGGTCATACAGGCAGCAAAATCTAATACTTTTGCCACAAGGTCACTCCAGCTTCTAAGAACCAAAACTTTGACCTACAAATTCACTTGCCCCCCCAGGTTCCCTGAAATCCCACTGGGGCCAAGATTCCTTGGTTCTTGGGACAGAAGATTCCATGTTAGAGACCCAGTGGTGAGCAGAATGAGTTGTCCCATTGACCCACAAATGTGAAAAGTACAATCTGTTGACATGTTGTCTCATTTTCAAATTCTCTCACATTTGGGGGTCAGGAACCAAAAATCAAGCAGCCTTCCCCTGTGACAAAGAGGTCTTTCTTCCTAAGTGAGAGATCATTACTATACATAAAGAGTTCTACTTATACCCCTCCACCCTCAAGAAGCTCCCAGTGGGCCAAGAAAGAAAACTCCAAATAAATTGGAGATGAGACTAGAACTAATAATAGCTGGCAGGCAGAAAGCACTTCAATGATTAGAGACTACCTCCAATACATTACCTCACTTGATCCTCACAACACCCTGTGAGGTAGCTACTATCATTATTATTATTATTATTCCTATTTTACAGATGAAGAAGCTGAGGTTAATAATAATAATAATAATAATAATAATAATAATAATACTTAGCATCGATACGTTGATATTTGTCCTTCATTCTCAAAAAGGACCATGATGTCAGGGAGGTGATGCCCTGACATGTCAGTCAATTGGATTTAAGTGAGGGAGGGCTGTGCAGCCACCAGCCTCACTCTCTCCTCCAGAGCACAGGAGCATCAATAGAAGGCTGTCAGGTTTGCAAAGCACTTCATAACCATTATCTCCTTTATCGTTGTTGTTGCTGTTGTTATTCACAGAGGGGAACTTGCCCATAGTTATACAGTTAGTGAGTATCAGAAGTCCAAAGCTCTCCCAACTCCAGGCCAGTTCACTTCTTTAAGAGGAAATTGGGCCAGGTTGTAGAAGGCCTCAAGAGCCATACTAAGTAAGGAGCAATAGAAGATTGATATGCAGGGGAATAGTCTAAGTTGTGGGAGGAATACGTGGGAGTCGAGAGCCCTGGGTACCTGCTATCTCTGCCACCTGCTGACTATATGATCATTTGCCATCTCTGGGGCCTCAGTTTCCTCATCTGTAAAATAAGAAGGCCTCAAAGAAGACCTCACAGAGCCCTTCTAGCTCTAAACATTCTGTGTTTTCAAAATCCCATGGGGAAGGAGGTTCAAAGAGAAGTGGACAGCTATAGTAATACCTTCCTCTTTTGTTGGGATCCCTCAGCTAAAAGTGCAACTCAGTGGCCAGCTCCTCCAAATAGCCTTTCCTTCTAGTGCTCCCCCAGCCCCTTCACTTGGTAACTACCTTCCCCCTCAGGCCCTCACACAGTACTTAGCACCTTTCCCGTTTAATTACTATGCAATTTTGTGTATTAGCGTTATCTGCATTTGTGGCTTATCTCCCCAAAAAACTACTTCAGAGCCAAATGAGTGAGGGCAGTGACTGTGTCTTAGCTAAACTTTGGCTCTTCCCCAGTGCCAAACATAGTGCTCTCAGCACCACAAATCATGGTACACAATTACTGTGCCATAAGAAATAACAAAGGTGAGGAATTCAGAGAAGCATCAAAAGACTTACATGAACTGATGCAGAGCAAAGTAAGTGGCCTCAAGCAAACAGTATACACAATGACTACAATCATGTAAATGGAGAGAATACAACAAAACTGAATGTTATATAAACAAAATGGCAAAATTAGGCCCCAGAAAAGAGATGAGAAGATGCACCTCCCTCCTATCATTCAGAAGTGGAGGACTATGTGTGTAGAATACTGTAGGACGCTATCAGACATCATCAGTATGTTTGTTGGTTTTGCTAAACTGGGCTTGCTTGGTAGGGGTGGTGATGAATGTGATGTAAAAACAAAAGGTATTCATAAAACCTTTTTTAAAGAAAAGGTCTCATGAATGTCTCATACTTGGATTCCTTTCTATTTCACTTGATTTTTCAATGATCCTTAATGAGTATAGATTCCTATGTCTCAAACAATCCCCTGTGCTGCCAATGAAACCTAGCCCTCAGGTACTTTACACAGTCTTTCTGGATGATGAATATATTTACCATTATATATATGTTATACATACATACATACATACATAAATATATATATATCTATATGTCTTAATCCAGACTTGTGATTTCAATAGTATAGGGAAATCTTGGTATGGAATTGCCCTCCATTGATGCAGATGGGGAACTCATCTAGTTCCCTAGGGCCACTGAGAGGTGACTTGCCCAGAGTCACGTAGCCAGGATGGGTCTGAGACAGATGTTGAACCCAGGTCTTCCTTATTCTAAGGAAGTAATTTTCTCCTATGTCATAAATATACATTTCTTTTTTAAAAGGTGTGAAAAGTAGCATATCAGCTAGTGATAGCTAACACTCAGACAGAATTTAAGGTTGCAAAGGATGCACCTTACATGCATCATCTCATTTGAGTCTCATGGCAACCTTATGAGGCCAGTCCTATAAGTGTATTATCCCCATTTAACAGATGAGGAAACGGGAGCTCAGAGAGGGACTTGCCTCAGAGAAGGACACAGAGACATGTCCAGGGTCACACCTGGAGAAGTGTTAAGAGTGGGAATCAAACCTGAGTGTGGCCCTGCTCTTTACCCACAAGCCTCTTGTGTTCTCAAATTGTATTTGCTTTTCACATGCCTCCTACCTCACAGGGTTGTTACAATGATTTGTAAACTCTCAGGTTACAGAGAGCATCTCGTCATCATCATCATCATCATCATCATTATCATCATCATCATCTTCTTCTTCTTCTTCTTCTTCTTCTTCTTCTTCTTCTTCTTCTTCTTCTTCTTCTTCTTCTTCTTCTTCTTCTTCATTAAGATCTTGTAGGAGGCCCCAGGCTTCCCAGACAGATCTTCTGCACTCTTCTTCTTGGGGCTTGCTTTGTCTTTTCCAGGAGCTAGGGGTAAAGATGGGGAACACAGTTCCCCAAGGGGCATGGCTGGGGCTGGCTGTTCCAATGGGATCAATGATTCTTCCTGTGCTATGAAGCCAAAACAGTGGCCAGGATTCATGTTCCTAAAGTAGCAGTATGGAGCTTCTGACTTCACAGGTTAGGGGCAAATGGTTTGGGACAAAACAAAGATCTCCAAGCTCCCAAATTTGAATGAGTAAACATATGAGTTAATTATAGAAAAAAGGTTATAATCCATTTCCAGAATATAGCACAAATATCATGTGTATTAATCTGTGATTTCAATCAAAGATTAAGATTTGTCTATAACTTAGTATGTTCTTCTCAGAGAATAGCCCAGAGGTCAGAGAAGGCAAGTGACTTGCCCAGGGTCACAAAGTATCAGAGTTGGGATTTGAACCCAGGTCTTCCTATCTCCAAGGCCAGCACTTGGTCAACTTTGGTAAAGGCTGCCTTTCCCACCAATATAATACTATACTTCACCCATGTTTGGTAGAGTAACTGGACAATTGTACTGCATTTGAATCCAAACAGCCTCATGGCCTAATGTGGTAGAATTAAGCTTTTGAAACAATTCTGATGTAAAAGAAAATCATTCTGCCAATGGCACAACCACCCTCTGCTGACTCTTGAATGACATGAATGACAAGCCATTGAACAATGGCTATTGTCGGCACAGAGGTTACAGAGAGTTGACGGGCAATGTAACGAGTTGCCAGGCCAACTCTGGTGATGGAAAGAGTACTGTGCCCTGAATGGAAGCCAACACTTGGATCTAAAAGCACCCACGTGGACGGGCTAGGACATAACCAGGAAGGCCCCAGCACATGTGTGGTTGCTGTAGTTTCCCTGGTTGGGGTGCTGAAAAGTTGTCTTAATCTTTGAGCTTTCAGTCAGTACAAGCATTCAGATTTCAACATAGGCTCGACCCCACTGTTGAGGTGTGGCTGCCCGTATAATTTTTGTGATGCAGTTGGATGCTGTCTTGCAAATCTTGTCTGGACAGCCGCCTCCGAAACTCATTGGTGGTGAAGTAGTAGATGACGGGATCCAGGCAGGAATTCAGACTCGCCAGGCACAAGGCCACCGAGTGGAATATCAGAATCACCTTCTGGGCCCTGCAGCTTTGGATTTTGTTGGCTTTGACCAGGAAATCTAAAGGAAAGCTGAAATGATAGGGTGCAAAGCAAATCAAGAAAACCGCTGCACAGGTTAAGATCATCTTTAGAGCCTTCTTCTTCTCCCCGAGGTCCTGGGACACTGGATACTTCTCCTTCAGCGATAGCACCGTCTTCCAGGAACAGTAGAGAACAATGATGAGAGGGGTGATGAAGCCCACCAGCTCCCCCACTGTCACCATGACGATGGACTGCGCCAAGTTCACGTTCCTGGTGGGCAGATCCACAAAGCACTTGGTCCGGTTGCTAGCCTTCTCGTGGTTGGTCCGGAGAAAGGGGAAAAGGAGGCAGGCGAGGCAGATGCTGAGCCAGCCAGCTACGCTGATGTACAGATCGCACTTCCTCTTGCAGTCGGTGAAGCGGAAGGGGTACATGAGGAACCAGAACCGCCGCACACTAATGCACACCAAGAAGTAGATGCTGGCATACATGTTCACGTACTTCAGGTAGAAGCAAAACATGCAGAGGCCTTCCCCAAAAGGCCAGTTGTGATTCAGGTAGTAAAAGATCCTCAAGGGCAGGGAGAGAACTTGCAATAAGTCTGCGATGGCCAAATTGATCATGAAGATCACAGCCCGCTTGGTTTCTTTCATATAGCCATAGAAAACCCAGAGAGCTAGTATGTTTCCTATGAGACCAGGCACCAGGATGACTGTGTACGTGACCGCATAAATAAAGTAGCGAAAATCTGTGTTGGCTATATCTGCTAGGGTACATGAATTGTTACTACTCATGTTTCTCTCCAGAGACTCCCTCCGGTCAACGCCTAAGTCCACTGCCAACTGCAGAGTGTGTTCAGTGACAGATAATGGATGGGTTGGGAAACCTAAAGGCATAGAATAATGTTCTCCTTTCATTGCTTCTGCTTGAGCCCCCGTACATGATTTGGGCACCTTTCATAGAATTATGTGGACATTTGCCTTGGATTAGCATTCAGTATTCATGGATATGAAAGTGTAGTCTGTACGAGCCCCTGACAAACATCTATGGGCTTCCCTTCTTGCTGCTATGGTGGCAAGGCCTTCTGGGACATTATAACTTTTGGTTCCCTCTTTGTAAGATTCTGAATGTATCCCGTAAGGACTCCTCCAAGCCCCACATGGTGACAGATATCTCTTGGCAGGTATTATCATGTGGTACAGTGGTGGGATGCTCTCTTAGGACTCTCTGGGAGACCCCCAAGTTTCTTAAAAGAACTGAGTTGTTTGTGATCATACTGGAGAAAAATACCATATTGGATACTGGTTTGGGGAAGTGGGAGAAGGGTCTGTCCATCACGCGTCAGAGCAAATTAACTTGTCCAGGTCATTTCTCTGGGGCTTTCTACACGGAGCCTTTAAGGCTTGAAACCAGGAGTGATGAACAACACTGCAAGGAAAAGAGAAAACAAAACAAAACATGGAATCATTGTGAGGACCATTTGTAGAAGAGGAAAAGGGTTCTCCAAGGGAACACAGGTCAATTGTGGGATACTAGAACTGGAAGGTACCAATCCACTGATTCTGTAAATGAGGGACCTGAAGTTTATAGCGGGCAAATGATTTTCCCAAGGTCACACAGTTAGCAAACCACAGAGGTAGGACTAGAACCCAGCTCTTGTAACTCCTAATCCAGTGTTCTTTCCACGTCTTCAATCTTCTTTGGTTCTTTGTTCAAAATGTCACCTTCTCAAACCTGTCCTCCCTGGTGGCCCAGGCCCTCCTCACTGCATTGCCACATTACTCGAATAGCCTTTACGTCTTTCCCCTCCCAAAGGACTTTGTTTCCTCAAACACCACTTCCATCTTGATATTCTCACCAAAAGTCGTTCCCTCTTGCTTAATTCAGCGAGCCCTCTCTCTGCCTGGCTGTCAAGTCTCCTCCTCATATGCCCTGACCCTGCCAATTCAACCTTACCTCCCACTATTCCACACATTCCCACTTTGCCTGTGTTAAGCCAAGCTCCTAATGGTTCCGAAACAGGCTCTGCCATTCACTAAACACATTTATTAAGCACCTACTAAGTGAAAAGTACTGTGCTGGGCACTAGAGACATAGACATCTGCCTTGCTCACTCTTGCCTCTTTCTCTTTGCTCATGCTTTACCCTACCCCCAATTTCCTTCCACATCCGTCTCCTTTGTGGTACTCTCAGCTACAGTCCCGCAATTGGTTCCCCCTTCTGTGATTAGACGCATATCCTTTCTGGTTTCATTCACCTTTCCCAGTCTCATCCCCTCCACCCTACTCCTCAAAACCCCACCAGAAGCTCCCATCCCCTGCACCCTTCTCTTGTACTAGTTTATGTATGTAGTCTATCTCCTTCACTTTTCCCTATTTAAATAGTTTTGAGAAAATAAAGTATTGACTTTAAGGGATGTTCATAGCGATGGGTAAGGCTGGCAACAAGAAAAGACTGAAGAAGAAAGAAAATAGGAAAGGTTTATGGGGAACAAGCAGTTGCAAGATGGGGGAAAACAAAGGACTTTGACTGTTTTGACTTTATCTCGAACTGGTGAGATGGTGTCAAAAGTGCTTTCAAAACAAAACATGCCCTGACCTGGCCACAGAGATATGAGCTGTGAAATTTGAATTGAAGAAGTTGGAGAGAGAGAGAGAGAGAGAGAGAGAGATGCCACCATCCCTCCAACCCCAAGCCAACAGGACTTTTGGGGGAGGAAGGGCTCTTTATGCAGATATTTTACCAAGATTTTGGGGACTCATCATTCCTCATTCACAGGTTTCTGACTTGCTTTCCCCCTTTGAATGAAACATTCCCATTTCCCCTAGACATTGTGAAGTGTGTGCTTGAAAGTAGAGGGTAGGTCTCTGTATCCTGGGGATACCATGCATATACTGGTAACAGTGAGAGCGTTCTCCAAAATGCACATGGGCCCTTCTTTTCAGAGAGAAGTTGTGCTGCAAGGGCTACACACCAGGAGAGCTGGTTGCTTCTCCTTAGGAAATCTGCTGCCTCAAATGCTGCCTCCCCACCCTCCTGGTAAACCTACTTCAAGGAAAAGGGGACTTAACAGTGAGTAACTATGACTCCAAGCACTTTTGAATAAAGAAAACTCTCCTCACCATCGGAGCTAAGGTGAACATAAACAGTCCCTTATCTATCTTTAAGGTAGACAAAAGACTATGGAGCTGGTTTTCTAGGGCGGGCCACTATTCTTTGAGACTTTCCTTCCTCAGGAAAGCATCCACATTGTAAGGGACTCAGCCTGAATGAGATAATGATTTGAAGGAAGCGTCCCCATTCAAATAGGGAGGCATATTTTTTTTCCCCTTGCTCTCCAGAGTTTTCCCTCATAAATCCAAAGCTGCTTCTGCAACTAAAACAAAAATGGACCAAAACACAGCCTGCCAAGCTGGCCAAAAATCCCCCAAGGACTGAAGCTGGTTCAGACTGAGCTGTGGTCAGCAGTTATGACTGTTAATTATTAATATTTATTGATCTCTTCACCCAAGCCTTCTAAAGTATAACTTAAATTGACTTATGCTCTGGTTCAATGGGATTATTAACCCAAGGGCTATAGCTGGGCCCCTGGCTGCAACTGGGACCCTTAAGTGACTTCCTCATTTGAAAGAGCCGAGGAACCCCTGGTTCCAAGGTACCATCTGTCACCCTGGACACCTAATTTCACCAATGATCAAGGACAGAATGAACTTTCTGAACTTGACTCGTGTACGATTCAATGGTCTTTGGACAACTAGTTAAAAACTGGAAGAGAGAGGGTACTAATGACTGTAGGAATCCGAATTGGTGTCCAAAAGGAGGTAATATTTGAGCTGAGCTTTGGAGGAAGCTTTGGAAGTCTTTGAGGTGAAAGCCTGGGTCACAGGGCCATGCACCTCACAGATAGGAACACTGAAGGACAGAGAAGTCAACGGACCTGTTCAAGGTCAGGACTAGTAATGGTGGTTCCTAAGATCCCTAGCACTCTGCCCTAGTCCAGGAGACAAGTTCCTCCCTATATGGCCTGAATGTGTGCATGAGAGGCTTGGATCATTTTTAGCACCAGCTGGTAGAGTTACCTCCTTCTCGGAGTCATCCTAGCTATCTGAAATAGCCACAGTGTCCTCTCTCCTCTGACCCTAATTGGACATACCCTACAGATGGCTCTGATTAGAAAGGTTGAGCAGTAATAATAGCTGACATTTACATAGGGCTTTAGGCACTGCAAGACACTTTATGTGCTTTAGCTCATTTGATCTTCATAGCTACTCGGAGACAGGCTGGCACAGGTGTAATGCTTGCCCTTTTCTAGGGTCCTCATTTATGAAGAAACTGAGGCTTGAGGGGATTAACTGACTTGTCTGTGGTCACACAGTAACTGTCAGTTGGGGGCTGAACCCATGGTATTCCTGAAGCTAGGTCCAGCACTATTTCCACTATGCTCTGCTTGCTGCCTCTCCCCCAGGTCTAGGGCAGCCTCTCTCTACTGTGTTAGGAAGGAACAGAATGGGTTTTCCTGAAGCAGGGCACCCTTCATCAAAGCTGCAAAACTGGCAAAGTTTATCCTTGTCTTCTACCTTCCCTTTCCTCCTTACCCTACACCCCTAGATATCAATTCTGTCTTCCCATTCATTGGGTCAGAGATTTAGAGCCACAAGGAGCCCAGGAGCTCATCTGCTTTAACCCCTTCATTTTCTAGAGGCCCTGAAATGTTGAGTGCCAAAGGGCTTTGAATATCAGGTTTCTGACCCGTGATTAGGAATGTTTTCCCCTATACCACCATGGGTTCCTTCAGAGCCTGGTTCCTACCTGGTTAAAAGGTTTTGCTCCCAAGGAAAAATTTGCATTTTGATAGGGTCTGAAAAATTCTTACTACAGGAATGAATATCTTGAATGGTGGGTTTTCAGGCACCATAACAAGCTAGGTGTGGGGAGCAGAAATATTTTGGGGGAAGGAGACAGGAGTCCGGTCATTCTTCACCTTATGCCCAGCAGGGGCTTGGCCTAGCCTCATCCCCAAATACCAAGTAGTTCTTTATTTACTGAGTGCCTTAAAATGAATGGTTTTGTTTAACCTTCAACAAGACCCCGGCAAAGCAGTCAGAAAGTAGGCATTAATATTGGAGTTTTATAGATGCAGGGACTCAGGCACAGGTGATGTCTACATGCCAACATAAGATGTGTTGGCTTAAACATTAATGTACCTTTTGGTTATTTGTGAGGCCAGCATAGCTGTTAGCAATTGAGGTGACCCCCACGACCCTCACGAAATGAACCAAGATATTTATTTAGAATAAACGTAAGGGCTTGAGCCTTGAGACCATGCCATAGAGGAGCAGTTGAAGAAACTGGGGCTGTTTTGCCTAGAGAAGACTTGAAAGATGGATGGATGGATGGATGGGGGCTAAACTGGAGAATTTGAAAGGCTAGGCCGATAAAGAGTAGTAGAGAAGATTCTGGTTCAGGTATGAGTTGGACTCGATGACCTTTGGAGGTTCCATCCAGCTCTGAGATTCCGTGACAACTCCCTGGCTCATTGGGACACTCTCCCACCCTCCTACTGGATATGAAAAAGTGAAGGGCTTGTTTGCCCCAACCCAACAGGTTAGCTGCCTGTGCCAAGGCCATCCCTGTCAGGACTTCCACGTTCTCCTTTTCACTTTGCCTGGGAAGTGACAGTTTTCTAGCAGTAGCAGAATTGGGTCAACTCTTGCATTCCCTTGGACAAACTAGCACAGAAAAATGCTGGATCCTGTATCTGGGGACTCAATTTAATTTCTCAGGGGCACCAGGGTACAGTGCCAGGCCTGGGTGCGAATCTTGGCACTCACTAGCTGTGGATCTTTGGGAAGGTCACTTTCTCTCTCTTCTCAATCTCACCATCTGGACTTGATGCCTCTTCCAACTCTAAATGCATGAAACTGAACGTGCTGAATGTGAAAGAGAAAAACCACCCAATACCTGTATTTTTATTCTCAAACAGATGGTCCCGAGAAGTGAGCAACACTCCATTCATCTGCTAAACCAAGGAGCTTATTTGAGGGGGTTTCTAAACCTTTAAAAAAAGTATTTGGGGAGTGGGGGTAGTGCTAATGAGACTAAAAACAAAGAAGAAAAGGAAGAAAAGAGCATCAATGAAATGTTATCAAAATATACGGAAGAGAAGTCCATGAAGGGACATAAGGAGGGCAGTGCTGGAATTACCATGTTACATGTGGTGGAAGCTTAAAATGGAGACAAACTGGACGTGGTACATTCAATTTCCTTTGCAGTCCTTTTTCAGTCTTTTGTAAATGGAAATGTTCATGTTCGTTGATGACTGTCAAGTGCTCATAATTTAAAAATTTTTATTTTCAGCCAAGAAAGAAAAAACAAAGCTATTTTTCATTTTCAATCAATCCCATTAGGTCCCAGGTTCTGAGCTAGGT